TGTATGCTATACAACTGATGGGGAAGGTGATCCTTTCCGGGCTTCTGTTTATGCTGTTCCAAACCACCATAAATGAAGTAAAGCCCGTTTGTAACAATCACTTATTTAGTCAATTTTTAAATAATTTTTTTAGGAACAAAAAAATTGAACATTTCATACATCAACTTTGATGACTTTTGGTAGTTATTTTAGGAACTGAAAGTTGTCCTATTTTTGTAATGTTTAGAACCTGTCCTATTTTCCCTCAATTTTTTAGTAACTTTTGACACATTATAGGGAATTTGTAAAATTAAAATTAAATTTATATTCATTTTTAAAGCTCACTATAATACGTTGACAGTAGATAGAGAGACCTTAGTTTACAGAAGGTAAATATTTAGTCTCCTGATTTAATATAACATAGGTTATGTACAAATGTTTAAATTTTACTGGTACTAAAAAATTGACAATATTATGGAATGTTACATACAGTTTCATCATTTATGACATTTTTAGGATAGCATTATATTTATTGAAGAAAAAAAGGATTAAAAATTTGACTAAATAAGTGATCGTTACAAACGGGCTTTAGAGAAAAAGATAATTTAAAAAAGACCGCACAGCTAGTCTAAAGTTAATACGACGTATTTAATAAAACTTTAGTACCGTTTTAAAATTAAAACTTCTTGCTCCTTTTAAAGCGGCAACTTCGATTTTTATGTAATAGAAATAAATTAAAAACCATCATCTGTAGCTAATATGGTGCACAAAAGCTGGTCCAAACGCATGAGTTATGTTCCCACAATAAAAACAGACAGTAATAAGAGCTCAATTCTGGCAATAAACTTTCGTAGACTAAACTTCAATTTGAATATTTATTATTGCGATAAATTACGGGCCCGTACGCATTTAAGATTATATATTATATAAATAGAAGAAGTAGAACGAAAAATTGGACGTTACAGAAATGGAATCTAAAGTAATTTATCACTGTCATAAATTAATAATCGATTAAAATATAACAGTTTGTTGTTAATATTGCAACCATGTTGATGAATAGTAGTTGCTCGATTAAAAAGTACGGCTGAAATTCATAACTGGTTTAATATATTTTTCAACTGCAATGCAGCGAGCTGTACATTTAAAATAAATTCAATCACGATGACGTCGAGAAAAGAACTCACAAGTGCAGCGGGATGGGAGAGTGGCTTTTTTAAATTTTATTTAAAGAACTGGTTCCAGGCGTGTTCGTTTCTGTTATTTATTTTTGTGTAATATAAACATATACATACACATATTTGTATAGGAAACGTTCTTTGTGAGAAAAGATGCCACACATTACCATAAAACTTATTTATACGTGACGCTAATTGTGGGGAGTAACATAAATCATCGGTTAATTTATAGAAAAATTCGATCACGATTGTATTTTAAATAAGTACGAGATTGGTCTAACTCGGCAAGTCATCGTGTTAACAATGAAAACGTAAAAATTCGTGCGGTGAGCTTTTGCCGAGACAATAACCATCATCTAATAATCATAACAACAGATATATAAGACGGGAAAGCTCGGGTTAAGTACGGGTTTTATATATGAAAATACATTTCGAGAAGCGAACGCTATACTTTCGACATAATACTAAATAAATAAAAGCTGAATAAATATTAGTCCTGTGAGAAAAAACACACACGCCGTTTTAAATAAAAATATATATAATTGAACTCCGAACGCAAATGTTGTTTGTGATAATAAAACCCAATTTTTCCAAGAGTCCTCATCAAACAAAAGCTTTGAAAATAAAATAAACATTAAGCAAACAAAATAATTGTTCCCTTACTGGAGAAATCTCGATTAAATTTGTTTTTCAAATAAAAAGAAAATGTGTGCAATGAGGGGTAAAAACGACAAGGATGCGCGTAATTATGATCACGACTGATATTAATGATATTTGAGAGAAGATTTGATTGGTGTTTTGAACGGAGTGGTCGGCATTACAGGCAGCGCAATATAATTATGTATATGTTATGATCTATAATTCCACGTCTGGCCATGGATATATAAATTGTTCAAAAATAATATACCGCGCATTTATTATTATATATTATTAATAGTAATCGCAGCGAAATATTTTATATATATTTAGTAGCTACCTTTGCGCTCAAACCACCGTGGAGAGTAACCCGAAATTAGATTATAAACTAAATACGCCAATTTTTTGCAAAAAATACTGTTCCCCCCACGTTTAGGTTAAATTAGCATAAATTATACGCTATTTTCCGGAAAGTGGACAAAATTATATCTGATCGGATCGTACAAAAATTCGATTAGACGGCGACCTTGGCAACAATTCGGTTCAATGGCGACAAAATGGCGGGCGCCCCGTCGATTTGCGTATTGTTAGCAACATATGACATTCCAGCAGGTAAAGATTAGACAGAAGCAAAATAAAGCTAGCGTTAGGGTAAGATAATGTAAAGAGGCGCAATATTCCTATGTTTATCTTGGGACCGATTATGGAATTAGTCTTTTTGAAAAGTTTTATTTTTCATTTAACTACTCTTCCGATACTTTCATAAGGAACAATAATAGAAGAAGAAGCTTAACTTGCGTAAGTCTCACTGCGATATTCTGCGCTAAAAGTTGTATAACCCAAAAATGCCATCGGGTTTACCAAGAAAAAGTAAGCAACTTATTTCTAATCTTATGCGTTATTTTGGACGAGAAAGAGATCTATCGCAACAGTAAGAGAGGTGAGTAGGTAATATAAAAATTCGTATACGTAACAAGTTTCATTTCACACAGAGATGCGGATGCATTAAATATTAGCCTGTCAACAGCGACTTCTATTTCACAAAACCCGTTAGCGATGTTGATGGTTTCACACAAGTAGCGATTCGGAACCCTATCAACGGTATGATCCAGCACACTAAGTTAAAACACACGTTGAATAGTTGAATGATTGAATATATTATATTAAATTAATATTGGTGTAGATATTAAGTAGTTTACGTTTGTATTTTAGAACATCTTCCGCTTCAATCCTATTTGCAAGTTATAAAAGAGAAATACATATTTCAGAAAAGTTGTTGCGCTATAAAACAATCCAAAAAATGGTTTAATAGAGTTACCCAATATTGCATCAATAGTCCATTTTTTAGATGGGTAGTAAAAAATATGCGAATGTGTCTTCTTGGATGAAACGTGGAGCATCTTGAATTTTTTATTTAAAAATAAATGGGAAAATGAACAAGCACAAACTTCTTAAATGGTTCTGGGACCATTTGCTACCACATTTAAAAGAACCATCGCTGATTATTATGGGAAATGCTAGTTATCACAGTAGCTTATTGGAAAATCAAATTCTGCCATGGCTATACAACACAAAAATCTTGAGTTTCCAAATGATGCATTATGAGCGACACATTGACGAGAAATGTGATGACAGAGAAAGTTGTTTAGATATGTGGCAACAACCCATTGATACAGTTAAACCTGATATATGGAACGCACTGTAGAACATACCAACAGAATTATTTTTGATTGGTGACACAGGGTGACCACGAAGCTGTAGCCTCGCCAATAATTAATTACGAAGATGATATTTTTGTAACTGATGATTCAGATTAATGTTTCCCGGTAACAAAATGGCTGCTGATCTGCGCCTGCAGTATTTTAAAATTCATGGAGAGATCCGAAAGGACGTGTCTTCGGCAAAAAGGCTCTGGTGCGATTTTTACCACGACGAAAACAGGAAGATCGGCGAATAAATTAGGCGAAAGTTTATCGTCCTTGCGACGTTCAACAACCAGCGGGAACGATGCACGGTGTTGTTTTTGGAAAAAACATGACGTTCCTAGAATCTTGAAATTCGTGACCTAATTACACAATTTGAAATGGTTTGTGTATTTTCATTTGCTTTTGTTGTCTTTGTTAATTTAGTTCGTGTATTTGTGTGCGCAACGCCAGGGTTTTTGTCCCGAAGAAGGTTTCCCTGACATGGTTGTGTGCGTAATATATTTTAACTGTTCTCGGAAGATCTAACTCGAGATATTAAGAACGAAGAACAAGGTAGACTCGACAAAAAGGACATCAGTTGTAAAAATCGACTTCTTAATTAGTTAAACAGCGGAATTGAAAATAAATCATAAAAAAAAGAAATTTGCATCAAATTACTCACCAAAGTTTGCATTGACATCTAGGCGGTAAGTAGTAAAATTTACTCACCTGAAACAAATACATTCAATTAGTTTTCTAACACAAGTCAAACAAGATATAAAAAAATTGCAGACAATTAGACAAACATGTTCACCCATCATCTAAAACAATATCGATCAAGGAGCTGATAATTAGGTAAAATAGTACACCACAGATAAAATCCTTCCTTATCCATTAACTGAAGAAAAGCGCCTTCATGCTTTAAGTTTACTGTTAGAATTTGTTTTGCAAAACTATTTGCGCTTTTGGATTTTCACGATATTTTCATTAGCACTAGCAGATTTTTATCCGAAAATGAAAGCGAGCACCCTGTAGCGTACAAATACGTGTTGTTAACGTAATTTCGGTATGAATATGGGAAATAGTAGCCAATACATCCTGTATATAACATACTTCAAGTTATTGCACAAGATCTGGAGATTTTTCTTTTCAAATACACACAGAACTGGAAAATTTTTTGATTTACAATTTTAATGTTAGTTTCTGATTGGAAGTTTAATTAATTGTTTAATTCATTGTCTAATTCATTTTATTCTATTTGTTGTATTTAGTATGATAAATTGAAAACGGGTAACCATTTAATCGCAATTTTTACGTGAAACGATCTGGTTGATAAAAAGGTGTTATCGGACAAGAATTATTTGATTTTTCGACAAACAATGTTACGTGCGATATAAGCGAGGCAGGTGTTTTATCAGATATGACGACGTAGATGGAATTTCGAGTGTCGAGATCTCTAGGAAATTACTTCAAACATTTTAATTTCTGTGAATTGTTAGGAGGGGGCCGGTTGCAGGTCGTGACGTCAGTCAGAGCCGAGCACGCCCTCCCTTTCAGGTTCGTAAAGAGGTTCAACAGCATTTTCAATTGGTCCAACAGGTTCGTGAAGCAGTCCAACATATTTTACAACCCGTACCAGTTCACATGGCTGTTGAACCCGGTGGAAAATCTCTTGGACCACTTTATGAACCTGTTGGATCAGCTGAATATGCTGAATTAACTATAATCAATCAATGATTAGTTTATTATCAATAATAGTTGCATTTATATAAGAATCGTCAAATAAAAGACCGAATGGACCTCAAAAATCCCCCCGTAGGGATCCCTACTATCCTTTCTCATTAACCATCACCTATAAAATGGGTTCTCATCAATTAAACACGTCCATATTTATACGCTCATTGGTTTTCTTCATTTTTGCACTACCAATTAAATAAAAGTTAAAGTAATGAATCAAATCCCACGTACTTCTCAAAGATGCCAATTCTACATTTCTCACACTACCGAATGATCTCATGCTTATTAAGTGGTTTGGAGTATATAAGGCCCACTTTGGCTCTAGTTACTGCGACATCTCGTCTCCAGATATTCGGAACCCATTACGAAAACAATGCTCTACAGAAATTAGAAGATGCGGACAGGACAATCCTCAATTCCACTAAATGCTTACAGATGTATTCTTGAAATTCCACTAGCCGCATAATTCATTGAATCGAATCTCTACATTTGGACAGCCTGTAAATTTTCTATGAAATTTAATAACCTTTGAAATTCAAAAAACCTATCTACAACATTCGAAAAAAAAATCCAAATTTAGAGCTACCTTTTCACGATTTGTTATGAAATCTATCCAGGGCTCAGTAAATACAACAAATTTCATCAAATTTGCTGCAATAAGCTGCTGAAAAGTCAGTCGTCAGCGAACTTTTTTTTTTAAATCTCGGTGGGAACAATTCAGCAAAAATATAAGCAAGCTAGTAAGTGTAGTCAGCAACAAAAAACTGAAGAGGAAAACTATTGAAACTATTGATTGATTGAAGGTAGATTTAATGTCTTGATAGTAAGATGGAATTCCTATGTTGATTGGAAAAGAAATACCGTAAAGTCATTTGTTGGGCCTATTTATTGCAAATTATTCGATTTAGATAGGCATTTTTATAGAAACGTTATTTAAGTGTTTGTTTGCGTTAAAAAATGTTGATATTATTTGATTAATTTTAACGAAAATACTCATTTGGTGCTGATAACAAGTGGTGGTCAATGATGTGCGCATTATTTCGGCGTAAGTGAGGATGCGTGCCTTCGAAGCCGGCGTTATCTAATCTAGTTGTCATTTACGCTTTATTTGTAAATACTGGAAGAATGAGATTATTCTATGATGGAGGTGGTGTTTCCTTAAATACTGGCGACAACGTAAATTTGTTTACGCTAAGTTACTAATTTATTAATTTTGTTGAAGGTGCAATTTGTCGGTTTGGAAATATAGTGCGTAGAAGTTCAGCGGTCTTAATAATAAAAGACTTAAGTGATAGTCCAGTGAAGTTGCAAAAGTTTGTGGAAAGTTTCTTTTTTTAAAGGTTTGTTCGTATTTAGAAAAAGTTAATACTAGTGAGAGTCCACAAAGCAATTGTCCGCTTCGCGAAAGTTTTTACCATTCCACTAGCCGCTGCGAATCTTTTTCATCTTGTTTACCAAGCTAATTCGAGTCATTGTGTCCAATTTATTTTAAAAAAAGTGAAGTTTCCAGACGCTGTCAGCGAGTGTTTTTGTGTCTTTGATACTTTGGTACTGAATGTAGCAAACCATTCACGACCAGATATTTGAATTACTTAAAAAGGAAAACTGTAAGTAATTTTGGATTTTTTAAAAAATTTTTAATTATCGATCATCTGTGTGTGAAGTAAGCTTCTCTTTATTTTAGGAATTTTGTTTTAATTTTTTATTGAATGTCTCGGAATAAATTTTTTTGTGATTGTCAATCATGGAATACATGGAAGAACAGTGTTTTGTGCGCTGAATGTAGTCCCTTTCCCCGAGGTTAGTTTTTTTTTAAATATATTTTTCTATTGTTATTTATACAAACTTAAGGGGAATAAAAGCGTATTATTATTATTATTATTAATTAATTGTGTGCTTATTCGAGCCCATTGTGCGACCTATATAGTGTTCATGTGAGATTTTTCTTTTCGGGTGTTAATCTTGAAATTTCATCAAGGCCACCGAGTCTCCCAAATAATTAATTTACAGCTTTTGCTTTTTTTGCACCGAAATGTTTACCGCTCCGTAGAGCTTTTTGATTTCTGTTCCTTTAATTGCAAGAGGGGATATTGTTTCGCTTTCATGCATTTGGTTTCTCGTATACACCGCGAATTAATTTGTCTTTCTTGCTTCCGTTCCCGTTCGGGCAATTGCTACCGTGGCATTGTACCGTAAATCTGCTTTCAAATCCTGGATCCTGTTATCTGTGACATCCGTCTCGCAGCAGTTCCAAAACCTTTCCAGGGGCAAGTCCGCATCCCTTGATAACATTCTACTTATTTTCAGAATCTCTGACTCTGACCAATTTTCTATTTTCTGGATCAAAATCACTTGATGGTCTTTGTGAAGTCTTTCTTCTATTTCTTGGCACTCACTTTCAAGGGGGACTACATGAATTAACCCCCCTAAATCATCAGTTGTTTTTCAGTTGCTTAATTTAATTTTTACAAGAACTCTAGCAAATGAACAATCTTAATACACTACTAACCTAATCAATCAAACTAGTTTTTGTACGAACTCCGGATGTACTAATAGACTGAATTTAGTTAAAATACGATCCTATAATCATTAACGAGCAAAAAGTCCTTCGAAAAGGACAAATCGGACAAAAAAATTCCAGTTCTAATTACATTATTATATAGTTACAATAAAGTTTAATGTCACAAAATTAAGCAATTAGATTTGTCTGATGTTTACTTGGCGCGACACAAAAAAAGTATAACATAAACTACGAGTATAATATGAAAGAGGCGGTTTATAATCTTTTAAACCAAATAACATTTTAAGCCTTTAGGTGGTATTCTAATTCACAGTTAGTATATCAAACACGAAATTGAGACATTATATTAATTAAAATGTCGTAAGTGGATTAGATAATTTTTTTTGTGTGTGCGCTCTGTGTACACTTCTAATACAAATTTTATTACCGTGGTACTTACATTGAGAAGAGAGCGCATTAAGTGTTTACTATTATTATTAGTATATTGGAGCCATGTATGAATGGCCGGAGAATAAAAGTAATATATATTTAATGATAATGGCCATGAACCCGTCTTGTCGGGAATATTAAAATAATAAAAATAATTAACCGTCCCAGCAGAGTCTGCGGTTCCACTTATTGCCAGTGGCGTATCTTTGGATTCTTTAGTGAGAGCAATAAAATCTTTTGAGAGAATGTGCTGTAAACTTATAATTTTAATCATTTCAAACCAATGTTATTATTGTTTATGTCTTATTATGGAAATTTTATGAAGCGTGGACCACGATCGTTAAGATACATAATGTTTGGTTTTATTTTTATGAATTTCTTCTATTATGTCGACGTATGGAAGGCGTTACGGTAATAAAATAAAAATTTAATTGTATTTTACACACGTTCAAGCAGGCACTCGGGGATATTTCGTCGCCACTAATTGCGACAAAAAAACGTCTTCCAAAACCTTTTTGTTAGCTTTTCAGTAAGCCCCATTAATTACCACCTAATACGCAAATGTGAGTAACGTATTTAATTAGGTTAATTACGTCGAAGAAATTACAACAACCTACCGGCGGTAAACACGGTGTGGGACGTACTTTAATTAAAAACGTATAACTTATTAAAAAAAAAGTTCGGGAGAATACAATAAATGAAGAGTTCAACGTTTATAAAAGGCTCAGGCGTATCAAAATTAGATAATCGTTATTATATCTCCAACGTTTTATGAAGCCAAAGTTTCGCGTTAATCCACAAATTACTGTTGCTTTTTAATTAATTATCAAGCGGTTTATTTTATTCCATATTAATTCGAACATTTGTTTTGCTTGACGTAATAAAATTATTTAATTTTCATTTATTAAAAACGTTTAATTCTCGCTTCAGTTGCGGTGAGGGCGAAAACAAAAATATAGGCGTTTATTTTCGCATAAGACCTATGCAACTTTTATATTTCGAGACGAACCAGGAGTTTTTGACTCATACTTTTTTACACTTTCTTGAAGAAATACTTGAAGGAGATTATAAAAAGTCGTACTTTAAAACTTTTCGATAAACTAGCTGTAAGTGGCATTTTTTTAAATAGTAAACAGGACAGAAACTAGGATTGACCAACATCTTTCGCTTTTTCCTGTATATTAAATTTTATGCGATGTTATTAATTATTTTAAGAACCTTTTTATAATTTTTTAATACTTTACGTTCATACTCTCTTAACACTATTCAAAATTATTAAAACGTTTTCAACCATTTGAAATTTCATGAAATCTTACGATATGTTTTTAAAGTATTTTAAACTCTCAGGAAATAGTCGATTTCGTTTTCAAAACTTTCTGAAACCTCATATTTTGAAATGACAGTTTCGAAAAATTTCCAACATCAATTTTAATTTTTCGAGTTTACTAACACTCTGAATTACCCTCCCATTTTTCCTGGATTTTTAAGAATAATTTTTCGAAATGTCAAATTTTAAAAATAAATGAATGTTTTTGAAATAATTTCGAAATTGCTTAATTTTGTAATTATTTTCAATTATCCTATCATCTATTTTTAGAATGTTTCCAAAACTTTCTTGGCAAGATTTCTGAAATCTTGAAAATTCCATACCATTATGTCATTCTTTCAATTTTTCTGTATTCTCTTTCGTCATAAATACTCTATTTCCAAAGAAAACTTACATACAATTTCTTTTACAAAATATTTTTGGAAAATTATTCTGAAATGTGTCTAAATTTTGTTTATATCGTGTTAGTTGTCTCAAGTTCTTCAAATGTGTAATCTGTCAGAAATTTTTTTAAAATACATTTTACGAAATCCAGAAATTTTAAAATTCAATAATTTATAACTTTAATCGCAAAGTTTCTGAAATCGAATTTAGCACAATTCCGAAATTAGTGAAAATTGTAAGTATAATTTGCTTGAAAAATGTTTCTAGGTTTGTACCAAATATATCGAAAACTTATTTTCAAATTTTACCAGTGCTTAAGTTA